CCCCCCTCCCCACGCCGCCACCGCCGTCCCAGAGCTTGGCACCCGGGCGTCCCGAGGTGCAGCCCTACCGCGAGCCGGCTCTGCGTCCCCGCATCTTGCTGTGTGCCCCTCCCGCGCGCCCCACGCCGCCTGTGCCTCCCGAACCCCCAGCGGCGCCACGAGAGTCCCCCGTGCGCCCTGCGCCCCCCACGCGCCCGGGGGAAAGTTCCTACTCGTCAATTTCACATGTAATTTACAATAACCACCCGGATTCTTCCGCGTCGCCTAGGAAACGGCCAGGCGAAGCGACCGCCGCCTCCACGGAGATCAAAGCCCTGCAGCAGACCCGGAGGCTCCTGGCCAACGCCAGGGAGCGGACGCGGGTGCACACCATCAGCGCAGCCTTCGAGGCGCTCAGGAAGCAGGTACCCGCTCTCCGCCCAGGGGCAACAGTGGCAGCAGTGGGTGGGTGAGTGGCCCCAGGATTGGAGTCAGGATAAAAGGGATCCCGCGGCGCAGGCAGGTTTGAGGTATCATTGTCGCTACGAACCTTAGTTTGCAAAGTGGCCAAAGCTAAGGATCTCTAGTCCATACACACACCCCGGCGTTCCCAAGGGGTAAGTAGCCCTGTCAGTGAGACTGACTTGTATGGCAGGGAGTCTTTTGGAATCCCTTGGGCTTGGTGTGGAATCTGGGAATCTGGGAATCTTCCCCTGGCAGGGGAGGGGAGGGAGCAGAGTACAACCTTGCAGCTCTGCACATATGGCCTGCTTGGGGTCTTGGCCCCCTAAAGGTGCCACACACCACAAAGGTGCGTTCCTGGGGGGAGGGGTTCCTGCAATGTAAAGGGCAGTCGGAAGCTTGTAAGCCGCTCTCAGGCCCTGGCTTCCATGTTCACTCAGCTTCCTTCTAGGATCTCTGCACTTGCCTGGTCCCTGGAGTCCCTAAGGACACAAGTTTGTGGTCCCTCCAGGGACAGCTTCAGGAACTGATCTGTGGGAACTTTCCCAGGAGATCCTGCCCACCACTGCCCTTCCTCTTCTGGTCACATCAGTCACCTCTGCCCAGGAGATTGCCGCTTGGAGCATTCCCTCTAGGGAGTCTGCAGAGCTGAGTCAGCTCACCCGGTGCTGGTGGGGACCGCTCTCACCTGACAGCGCCTGTTGGGGAAGCAAAAGAATCCTGAACTGGAGAATTAGCCATGGTGGAGGGGGGCAGTTGACCATTCCACTTAAGATAAGCTTGGTACTCCCCTGGGGTTTAGTTTCTCATATTCTTAGGGACAAGTGAGATCTAAAAAGGGTGTGGCATGGGTCTTCCTGTCCAGGCCACCTAAAGGGTTAGAGTGGGTGGTGGATGTAACTGCTTTAATGGGTGAATCTTTTTGTTTGTTCTGCTACTGATTAGCTGTTTGTCTCCTGGAAAGTTACTCAACCTCTCTGGGCTTAAGCCAGTCACAGACAATTTCAGAAAACATCATCTTTTTGGCTCACACTCTCCTCTTCCTTTTGTGGGTAAGATCAGGCAATGAAGACTTAGTCCTTCTACAAATTGGACATGGAACCCCCTAGGAAAAAGTGGCCTTACTGGCCTTTCATCCTGAGTGTCTCATCCGAGTTTGGGAGAAACATTTGATCCCTGAGGTGGGGTGGCTGTCGCTGCTTGCTAATATCAGCTGTTATCCTGAGCTGTGGAACCATCCATTCTACCCTAGCCAGCTGCTGTGTGCCTGTATGCCTGGCCACTGACAGCCTGGGGGGTATCTTGCGGTCCCTGTCTCAGGACAGGAGGGCAGGAAGCTTCACTCCTCTGCTTCACTCGCTGCTAGGTGAGCCTTTCCTGAACTGGGGAGTCACGAGCCCAGGGCCTCCATCTCATCTCTCTTTATCTGCGTCCAGCCACCTTCAGCCTTTCCCAGAGAGAGCATTCATGCCTGTGGGTTCGTCTGTGTCTCTCGTGTCCTGTGACTTTAGTGACTTTCAACAAGGAGTCCTGTTTTATTTTACTCCTGTCAGGACTGGATAGACCCATTTTGTAGTAAGCAATACTGAGACCAGGAGAAGTTAAGAGACTTAGCCAAGATCATCTTGTAGTGAGTTAGGAGTTCGATGGCGGCAATTTCTGGAGATCTTCTCTGGCTAAAATCTTCCCACTGGGTGGTGCCCTTAGCGACTCTCAGTGACGAGGTTGTTACTACTGTCTCCTTTCATTTCTGCCATCTGTGAGGCAAGTTCTGCACCAAAGAGTCAAATTCAGTGTGTCTCTGCAGAAGGTGAGCCCACGCATTCTCAGAGAGGCTTTGTGTGTGCACACACACACATACACAGTTCAATGTATGTATGTATGTTCAGTACATGTACTTGAAGAACACACAGACACACACCCCTCCTGTTGCCTCTTCCTAGCCCTAACCATTTTGTCCTTTCCCTACAAGGACTGCTACTGGACATCTGCTTGTTGTCTGAGAAGGACAGACATATAGCCAGGGACTGAGACTGTTCCTAGCATGTCTCCACCACCGTAGCACCCATCTGGTCGATGGAGTCCTGTGTCACAGGGAGTGTTTTCCTTTCCTGGGTCCCAGCCTCCTACTTGTCGTGCCTCGTGGTCTTTCTGTGTGGCCACGGACAGTCACCTGTCCTCTCTGGGCCTCAGCTTCCAAGGTTGCATCATGATGTCATACCCTACCCCGTAGGCAGCTCTTTTGTACAAAGGGAACAAAGTAAGGCAGGACAGTAAGCAAGAGGAACATTTCTCAAGCATCCACAAGGACCTCGGGGCTGAGCAGGGCTCAGTAAGACGAGACAGTGTGGAGTCTTTATTATTTTACCCCTCCCTTTTTTAGACAGAATCTCTTTATATAGCCTTGGTTGGCCTGCATCTTGTGACATCGACCAGGTAGGCCTGGAATTTCTAGAAATCTGCCTGCCTCTGACTCCTAAGTGCTGATATTTAAAGGTACACACCACCATACCCATCTCATTTGGAAATTTTAAATTGTATTTGTGTGTGTGTGTGTGTGTGTGTGTGTGTGTGTGTGTGTGTGTGTGTGTATAGGTCAGAGGACAACTTCAGAAGTTGATTGTCTCCTACCACGTGGGCCTTGGGGATCGAACTCGGGCTATTGGACTCGGCAGCAGGCACCCACTGATCATTTGATAATAGGCATAGAAAGCTCCAGGCTCTGTGCTTAGATCTTCTGTGTTCTAGCTGGTTTTTGTGAAACAGGTGTTGTCATCACTCTGCAACATCCCACTTCACACAAGGTGATCCCAGGGTCTCAGGAAGCCTATGTGAACTGGCTGAGGTCTCGTGCTTTTGGTGGCCTCCTTGTGTCACTCTTCAGTTCCCAGTTTGGCAATGCATCCATGGCGTTGTGCAGTTGCAGAGCTGTGTGGTCACCACAGAGCCTGGAATGAATCAGGGTTAGTGAGTCTTTCCAGTGGCCAGTGCTTAACAGCTTTGCTTCTTGGCTCATCCACCCAGGGAACCCGTCAGGCCTCTGCCTGTCATTGCGATCTACTACCCTCCCAACCAGGAAGAAACGGCAGAGGGGGCTGTGTGGCTGCTGGCAGAGATACAGGTGGGAGAGAGTCCCCTGGTTTAGGGAGAGGGGGTATGAGGCAGATGGTCAGACTACAGCACTTGCCACCAGCCCAGCTGCACCGGAGCCCTCCTTGCTGCCTCATCTGAAGGCCATGTGTGTGCAGCTGGGCCTGGCCACGTGCAGGCTGCTCCCTGCCAGGTGGGAGGGGTCCGAGGGAAAGGCCAGCTGTATTGGGTGGAGGACAGAGGGCCTGAGCTGTGGGACTCCGTTCCCTGGCGGGACCCTCCAGCTGTGCCCACCTTTGGTATGTCTAGACTGTGGGTGGTTTTGTTCTCTCCCTTGAAGCTCCTTGATGTCCATGGAGAAGTGGCAGCAGTAAACTGTGATAGGCCCTTATCGGCTGCCTCTCCCCATGGAGGAGGCATTGAGAGAGTGGGGCCAAGGCTACCTCTCGCAATGTGCCTTGTGGGGTCCCCAGGGTTCCCACCAGGTTAATTCAGAGTTGTCCCAGAAGGGTAGGGGGATGATGGTCTCAGCTTAGCCTCTCTTGGACTACCAAATCCTCTGAGGTGATAGAGACACAGGGGACCCCCAGCAGTGTCTGCATCCCTCGCCACAGTGACTAGAGGTGGGGGGGGTACACCTGCTTACACTGGAAGCAGTTGGGAGGGTGATCTCTCCTACCCCCAAGCTCACACTCCAAGGGAGACTGTTTACTGAGATTCCTATGACATGGATATATATCTTTGGTTATATGTCTGTAGGGCTACTTGTCATCGCACTGACAAGGACAGTTGTAGAGAGTGGCTAGGGTCTCTCTCCGGGTCTGTCAGGCCCTAGGTTGGTGTTGTGCCCTACTTCATATTGTAGAGACTTTGAATTTTTAAGGACCTTTCTAAGTAGACCAGGCAGGGACATTGAACGGCTCTAAATCACGGGGGTTCACCCCACAAATCTTGTCCCACGGACACAAGAGAATAGCATCATACAGAAGGAATCTAAAAGTCGCTGTATGCAGGGACATCACATGCTTGTAGCTCTGGGGGTCTCTGAGGACTGCCCCCGAGGGACCGTCAGAGGGCAAAGGGCTATGAAAGCTTTCCTGCATGTTCTGGTAGATTCTTGATTTTTGCTTAGGTTGTTTTTCCCCTCACTTGTCCACTGTGACCCCATTCTGAGAAGCAGCTGTTGGGATGCCCACGTTTCTGGTGAAGAAACAGGTCTTGTAAGGCCTCCTCCTTGAAGCCGGGAAGATGTCCAAGGGACAGCCAGGCCCTCAGGCTGCCCAGTGAGTGTTTGCAGGGGCCAGGGGAGGGTCTAGCTTGGGCAGTGGAGGAGAGTGGAATGTTTGGGGGCCTAGAAGATCTTGTGAACATGCCAAGAGCTGATCCTTTGTGGAGTTTAAAGTCCAGCAGCAGGGGAGATAGCTCAGCCAGTAAAATGCTTGCTATACAAACACGAGGTCCTGAGTTCAACCCCCACCTACAAAGGCAGGCAGGCTGGCGCGCATCCCGTCGTCCCGGCACTGGGGAGGTAGAAAGGTGAGGTGGGCCTTGATAGCCAGTCTATTTCAGCTGAACAAGCAAGCTCCAGGTTCAGGAGAGACCTTATTTCAAAAATTAAGGTGGAGAGTGATGGAGGAGGACACCTGACATTGGTTTCTGGCCTTCATGGACATGCTGGAACATACACACGTACACCCGCACAGACGTGTGCAGACACGGCTAGGCCTTATGGATGAAGATGAGGGAGGTCCCCTTACCATTCCAGGAAGCTGGGGAGTCTAGATGAAGAGTGGGAGCCAGGTGGCCCTGCCTACTCCTCTAACTCCAGGCTCTTGACCAGGCAGGGTGCTGTGCAGACAGCGGGGTGTTGGTGGGGCCTGTGACTTGCTGTGGATGCTGTAATGTGCAGAAGTGGGGTCATTTGGGATCCCCAGCCCAAAACTTGTTACTCAAAGCTATCCTCACCCCCAGCTTAAGCCAGCTGAGAAGAACCCTGGTCAAGCCATGATGTCAGAGCCCAGCACATCTCTCCACAGGGGGAGTCAAGTGCATCTTTGTGGAGAGGACATCATTTCCCCCATGATCTGCTGAAGAGATGGGTACAGACAGTGCATTCAGAGTGCCTCCAGCCACAGGGCTTTGTAGGAGGTGGCCCTTGGGGACCTTTTGCAACAGCAATATGTGTCCTCAAGATTCAGTGAGGAGGGGCAGCAGTTAAGAGCACTGGCTCTCTTCCAGAGGACTCAAGTTCAATTCTCAGCACCCACATGGAAGCTCAAGACTGTAACCTGAGTTCCAGGGTTTCTTTTTAAATTATTTATTTTTAATATGCATTGGTGTTTTGTTTTACCTGTATAAGGGTGTTGGTTCTCCTGGAACTGTAGTTAAAGACCGTTGTGAACAGCCATGTGGGTGCTGGGAATTGAACCTGGGTCCTCTGTAAGGGCAGTTAGTACTCTGAGCCGCTGAGCCATCTCTCTAGTCCCCGAGTTCCAGGGTTTCTGACACCCGAGCACAGACTTACATGCAGGCAAAACACCAATGCACATTTAAAAAACAAAACAAACAAAAAACCTCAGTGAGGAACACAGGCGTTGCTGTTGGTACTCTGTAAAGGGGGAAACTAAGGTTCAGAGAGGCGACGGCATTGACCTAAATCATGCCACTGTAAGTACCTGGAATTAAGCCAGCTCTTCCTATCCCCTCAGCATCCTAGAAGCAGAATCTTCTAGACTCTTACTTTGTGGTAGCAGCCAGGCCAAGGTGTCTCCAGGCTATGTTGTAGCTGAGCTGTTGAGGGTCAAAGGGTGCTTAGGCACCAGGAAAATGAATGATAGTGGGTTTTTTGTTTTGTTTTGTTTTGGTTTGGTTTGTCTTTTTGTTTTTTTGAGACAGGGTTTCTTTGAGACTTTGGAGGCTGTCCTGGAACTAGCTCTTGTAGACCAGGCTGGTCTCAAACTCAGAGATCCATCTGCCTCTGCCTCTGCCTCTGCCTCTGCCTCCCGAGTGCTGGGATTAAAGGCATGTGCCACCACTGCCTGGCTGAATGATAGTGGTTTTATGGGTTTTGTTGTTGTTTGTTGTGAGTGGTATATGTGTTTTATCTATTTGTGACAGGGTCTAATGTACCCAAGGCTAACCTCAAACTCAGTACTTAGCTGAAGATAACCTCAAACTTCTGGCCCTCTGATGTGCTGGTATTACAGGTGTGCACCACTACTCCTGGTTAATCCAGAGCTGGGGACTGAACCCGGGGTATCAAGGCATGCTAGGCAAGCACTCTACTAACTGAGTGTCTCTCTAGTCATGGCACCAGGATAACCTAGAAGGAGCCAAGTAAACCAGGGAGCTAGCTTGGGGCAGGGGAGGGGAAGGGGCAAGCCATCTGGAAGCCACTGTTGCCTCATGTGGTCACCTTGGTTAGCAGAGGAGTGTCCTATTGTATGTGCCTTCCTTGGGTGCCAGGCAGATGAGCTGCTGGCTCCAGCCAGGTCTCAGCTAATTGGTCTGAGACTCAGAATATCACCTGTTTTCCTCATGTGCATATGGGACATTCATCTTGACTTGGGGCAGATTTCAAATAGGCTAATGCTCTGAGAGGCTCTGGCTGTGTCAGAGGGACAAGGGCTCAGTCCATGGTTTTCTTTCAATTTGACCAGGACCTTGACCCAAGCAATAGCACAAAGGGACAAATCTAGGACAGATTGGCCCAGAACCTGGCATGGTGCTTCTGACTTGGCCTTGGTCTCACCTGGCATTCTGGGCCCCAGCACATAGATCTTTCCCAAAGTCCTGCTTCCTTCTAGAAGCCCAGCTGTTTGGGGGTCCCGGTGCAGAGTTGGCTGTTGAAGGGAGACTTCAGAGTGATCTGTAAGTGACAATAGTCCTGGGTCCCCAGATTCCCCCACCCTGCAGGCAGAATGTCGTCATTTTGCTGACCTCTGCTAGACTTTCTGTGTACAGTGCCTACGTCATCCACTGAATCCCTGCTGCCCTGTGAGGTCAGTCTTGTTCCCAGTGTACAGAGGCACCAAGGCTCAGAGCAAGTGTATCATTTACTCGGTCTCAGGCTGGACAGAGTCAGAGTCAGGTGTTGGATCCAGGAGACAAAGGTAGTGCATAAGTTGTTTTTTCATCTTCAGTGAGATGAAGGGCGTGTGTGTTTGTGTGTGTGGTGGAGTTCTGTTTTGTTCTTGCTGGGTTCACTCTGCTCGATACGTTCATGACTCACTAGCCCCTTTCCACCCTCTTAACACATCCCACATTCACTCTATAAAACCACACAGAAATGAAAAGGCACCACGGAGCCTCCTTTGAAGATCTCTTTCAGCTTCCCCCAACCCCTCATGTTTGTGTAGGTATGCTGTCAGCACCCTGTCAATCGCAGATCTTTTGCATAGTCCTTTGGAAGTAGAACTTTGCCTTCCTCTAAGTGTCTAGTCCCTGAAGAGTGCACATTTTGACTTAGTTACGTTTCTAGCCTGCAAAAATAATGAAAGAAAAAGAGAGAGAAATGTTGTTAGAAAAAGAAAAATGGGCAACATAAGGAATTGAGGAAAAACTCCATGGAAGCTAAGAATATCATTGGCTCTGGCAGAAGGAAGCTCAGTAAGAAAACAGTTATTTGTTTACGGGTTTTACAGGTATTTGGCAACAATAGTAGAGATTAATGGTGCAAAAGTCTGCCTTCCCTGAGGCCTTCATTCTGAATTCCATGTGGTAGTGTCTGCATCTTGTCACAGTACAAAAGAGTAAAGAAACAGCTTGATGAGACAAAAACAAAAGATTAATGGATTTTAGGTATTGTATAATTACAAGTCCTAAAATAATCTGCAAAGAACTATAAAGGACTCAAAGGACTTAGGACAGTTTGTGTGTGTGTGGGGGGGGGAAAGGACAGCTCTGCTTTGCCTTTCCTTTTTTTTTTTTTTTAATTTAGGTTCTTTTCTCTGGTTGGTGTGGAACTCGCCAAGTAGTCTAGGCCTGCTGGCCCACAGCTCCGTGACAGTCCCTCTTCTGCCTTCCCAGTGCTGAGATTACAAGTGCATGCAATCACGCTGGATGTTTTAATATGTGTTCTAGGAACTGAACTAAGGATATCATTTTTGCAAGGCATAGTGGCTAAACTATCTCTCAGCCCAGATAAGATTTTTTAACTTTATCTTTTTAAAAGGTTTATTTGTTTTATGGATATGAGTGTTTTGCCTGCATATATGTCTGCATACCATGTGAGTGCCTGGTACCTGAAGAGGCTGCAAGAGGGCATTGGATCCCCTAGAACTGGGGTTATATGTGGCTTTGAGCTGTCATGTGGGATCTGGGAATCAAACCCAGGTCCTCTGGGAGAACAGCCAGTATCCTAGCCTCTGAATAATCTCTCCAGCCCTTTATCGTTTAATTTTAT